CTGTCAGAGAGCAGACAGGCATCCCTGCTTCGGGCAGTTTGCAGACTGCGACAGGGGGCAATGGTGACAGCTTTGACCATCATGCAGCCTCTGGGTCTCATGGCGGCTGCTCACTTTGTGGTGCCGCTGGGGTTGCTGCATATGCGCCGCCTGCAGAGGTGGTTTGCCGGCCTTCGTTTAGATCCCAAGAGGCACAAACGACGTCTGGTGACCATCCCCCTCCTCAGTGGGGGGCAACCTCCGATACTGGGGGTCTCCAGAGCATCTCCAGAGGGGAACTTAACTGGGGTGAGTGACCTCCTACATTACGGTGTTCACAGTTGCATCTGTGACAGGATGGACGGGGACCTGCCTAGAGAGAGCTATAGGTGGTTGCTGGTCTCTGACAGAGACGCGGCACAGCAACCTGCTAGAGCTACGGGCAGTAGTGTTGGTCCTCCTGCATTTCAAACCCTTAACACAGGGCAAACATGTGCTGATGAGGAGCGACAACCACACCACAGTGGCGTACATCAACAAGCAGGGTGGAGTCCGCTCCGCCGCCTTGTTGACCACAGCGGAGAAACTGTGGTTGTGGGATTCAGAGATTGTGTTGTCTCTGAGAGCCCTCCACATCCCGGGACTGGAGAACAGGGGGGCCGACCTCATGTCAAGAGGCGGGCCCCTGCCAGGCGAGTGGGTGCTTCACCCGGAGGCGGTGAAGCAGATCTGGGCCCAGTTCGGGAGAGCGGAGGTGGACCTGTTCGCCAGCCGGCGCAACAGCCAATGTACCCTGTGGTTTTCCATGAAAGCTGCTCTACGCCTTTCCAGCGATGGTGTGAGGAGCGGAGTCTAGAGCCCCTATTTTGTACGTTGTGCTCTATTCTGTCCTACTTACAGTTACTGGTGGACAGGGGGCTTGCTCATTCCACAGTTAAAGTGTATGCAGCAGCCATTTTGTCCTGCCATGAGGGATTTGGCGGCAGGTCAGCCTTCAGTCAGCCGCTTATGTCGCGGTTTTTGCAGGGGGTCCGGAGGCAGTCCGGAGGCAGTGCGCAGTAGTGCACGCCTCCGCCCCACAGTGGGACCTGCCGTTGGTGCTCGAGGCTCTGGTCACAGAACCATTTGAGCCTCTGGAGCTCTCAACCCTGAAAGCACTGTCATGGAAAACAGCGTTGCTACTTGCCTTGACTTCAGCCAAGTGAGTGTCCGAGCTGACCGCTCTGTCGGTGCACCCAAGTTGCTTGTTGATCCGGGGTGAATGTAGTGGGGCGACACTCAGACCGAACCCCTCCTTTGGTCCCAAGAGCCTAAGGAGTTCATTCAGGTCAAGGGCTATTCAGTTAGGTGGCTTTAATCTTCTACCCCATATTGGGGCCAGGGAGGCTAAATTGTCGTAAAGCGGACAGGCGTCGTCACAACAATAGCTGGGGATTGTGGGTAGTGTAGTCTCTTTGGCGCTCCACATTTCAGAGAAAACAAGTTGTTTCTCAGAATTGAAGGGGAAAAACACAAAAGCATTGTACACAATTTAAACCTATCAATGTCGTTTAATTAACAAAGATAATCTGGTGTTTTTGAGTTGATGAGTAGTGGAGATATCACTGTCAAATCAATCGACAGTAAGGAGAATAGTTAGTTCCGGGTGTAAAATTCTCCGTCATCCAATGGGAATGGACGCTCACATTGCCTTTAAGGGCCGCCGACAAGGACCGATGCGGTGCTTCCATGAGCGTCAAATACCGCCGCCGATGGGAATACATTGCAATCAGTTGAAAGCTCTTTGCGTCCGTTTATGAAGCTGAAGGAGCCTCGGCGCGTCCCAACTGCACGCGACGGGACCCTGACCAAGCGTCGCTCCTGGACGTTTAGGGAGTGAGAGTGTGTTGGTGTAGAACTGGCTTCGTAGTACAGGCCAGTGATCGATCAGGCTAAGCTAACCTGTAGCTGCTCCCTAAACTCACAACAACTTCATACAGACATAAATAAAGCAGCTGTATTCGCCATACAGGAAACACACATTTAAAACGGTTTTGCCTGCTGTTTTTGTGTACACAAGCATTCATTAATGGTTTGGAAAGTGGCGCTGTACCTTAATAATATAAAAGATTGTATTTGCGTGCATTTCCTGTTCGGAAAGTGGCAATATACTGAGAGCGTACATGAAACGCTACGTCATGAATGCAATAAATCATACCCTCGTGGGGCGCGCTCATGTGATTGGCTTAGAATTGAGGAGACATCTGATTTGCTATAGATAGAAATAATTATCGAATCGGGTGACCGTCAGGGGAGTCTCAAAAGACCCACACATGAATGCAAAGCAATCCATGCACAGAAAGTGGGTTGTGTTTGCAGGTGCAGCGGTTTTAAACGGAAAACAAATGTGTGTGGATCAAAAATACATATATCAAACTTTTTTCTGTATTTTGATTTTATTTACATGTATATGAAACGGAACACATTCGTGTGTGCATTGAAAAACACAAGTGTGACTCCTTTTGCGGGTCATGAAATACAAGAGTGAATCCTTCTGTGTGCATGTGTGTATTATGAGACTGTTCTGAGCCCATACATAACTGTTACCGGAGGTGTATTTTGTAAATTGTGTAATTTTTGTATTTATGCATGCTTCTTGGTTAATATTAAGCTGTCTTTGGCTCTTTTCTTGCTGTAACAAATGCAAATTTCCCCTCTGGGACGAATAAAGGTATTCCGATTCTGATTCTGATGCCGATAGGTTGAGTTAAGTTAAGATGGATTATTTTTCAATCCCTTCACATCGCTTTTTTTCAAATGTCTTATTATTAAACAATTATTCAAGTCCCATTGAGAATGGAAAACGTATCATCCAATGGAGCCCTGGTCAAGACATGGGCAACTGTGTTTCCTAACAAACTAGCCTACATGCAAAACAAACACACTGCTTTCACAATGACACCCACATAAACTTTAAAACAAACATGCAGTATCAGCTATATGCAAATGACGAAAAGGGGAACAGACCAAAGATGGACTGATGAATTCATTGGAAGAGTCAGCAGAAGGTCAATGAAGGCCACAGAACTTTGAATATTTATATGTGATCAATCCCTTTGCCTTCCTTTCCTTCTTTTGCCATTCGTGCTTCAGTGTAATGTGGCTCTTGAAGTTGTGTACTGAATGTACTTTTCCAATATCAGAGTAACATGATAACAAAGGCCCTACTGTAGCTGTGTACATGACAGGATGTATGATTACCTAGAAGAGCGTCAGGACTGTTTTAGGCGTATGATAGCTATGTGATTAATATGATGATTCAGCCTCTATGGAGATAGACATATGACTGTCATGTGTTTTGCTTACGTGGGCCTTAGCTAATCTGATTTAAGCATAGAATACTGCTTTGAACCGGTATACATGTATCTTGTGACTGTGTAACTCCCTCTCTTGTATATAAAGCATCTGAAGGACACTGTTCAGGAACTAGTTGTACCAAATGCTCTGTATGTGATGACTACTTCCATTCTTGCAAGGATAATAAATACATGTATCCTGATATTGAAGCTGAAGCCGGTGACGAGTGATATTTTTCCAACAAGTTTCATTGATGACCTTTTTGACCACACAGGTTGCAGTTGAATTTCCAAAAATTCAGGTCCTATCGTCTTTTCCAAACCACTATTGCTTAACTTCTGAGTTAAACATCATAGGGTTAAGAGAAAATACAAAGGAGAATACATCAGGACTCAGGAAAAGACAACTGCGGTGCGAACTGAATCTGACTGCACTTACATTAGGCTGTTAATGATTGGCCAGCGGATGTTATTGATGTGCGTCTGCCATGAGGAAACAGTAGATTACTATAAGCTCATGTAGATACTTTGCTCTTTGTGGTGATGATTTATAAACATGAACAACAGTGAACAACATTATTACATTCAAATATATACAACATTTTCTCCTTTCATTTCGAAAAGGGTGGTCGAGTGTATGCTAAACTAAAGGAGATTATAAAGGAAGCACTGAAGCTCTTTTCCTATCATCTAGACTTCTGATCAGCTCTTATCACGTCTGACACTGAGGAACTTCTGAGTCATTTCACTCCGTTAGGAACCTTCCCAAGACGCCAGGAAGTGTGTCGGCCGTTGAAGGACATTTTCGTGGTGGCTGTATTGCCAAACAGTTGTAATTTGGTTTTCCTGCTGTGTATCACCAGTCCTACGCCGGTATCACTCTATTTGTCTTTTCTTGTAAATGCATGTGCAAATGTAAGTAAATAAGCCTGATATAAAAGGTTCCATATCCACTTTGCATTAAGTCGAAAGTGCAGCTGAGTTTTATATATTTTTATTTAAAATACTGCATGTTATCCCATTAGCAATTTTTAGTACTTTGTATTGTGGTTTCCCTCTGACAATTACTTAAGTTGTTTAGTTTACAGTTTCACTTGAATGTAAATTGGAGAAGTCGGTTCAGTAATTGATATTGAATCTAATCAAAGTGTCTGTGTCTCTACAGGGCTGAGCGCTGTCTCCTCACATGCTGAACGTCAGTACCATTTTGTTTATGAAGCAAAGACCATGTCTGAAGCACAGAGATACTGCAGAGAGAAACACACAGACCTGGCCACTGTAGACAGCGAGGAGGTTGTGGAGCTCCTGAACAACATGGCAGGCCAATACAAACAAGTGAGGTCACTTTTCTCTGTCTTTCAATTCAAATGAATTACATTTCTTTTCGAGTCAAATTTAAAAAGGAGAGATTATTACAGAAAGCTAAACCTGTTTTAAAGTCCTATGTGAACCTGAGTATTAAATGTTTTAAGCCAAAGCTATAGCATAAAACCCTGTAATAAAGTTGAAGAGGTTCAGAGTAACAAGGCTGTAAATGAATGTTGACTTGAGGGGATTCCCATCAGATCACCATGTACCAAGGCTGGTCTCATAAAGGCACAACAAACCTTCTCTTTATTAAACATACACATTTTCTTCAGCAGCAGCTTTAAAAGCTTCAACAGGATGTAATAATTATAACAATTTCTTGCTTTCAGTCAGCCTGGATAGGGCTGCACAATGACTGGGACACCTGGAAGTGGTCGATGTCAGACCCAAGCTTCTACGGACCGGGGGAGACGGAGTTCAGACCATGGGGGCCTGGAGAACCAAGCAACAAGCACAATGAACAATGCACATATTTTGATTATGATGGAAGATGGCATGATTTTGATTGTAATGACCGAACCTGGGCGGTCTGCTTTGATGTCACAGGTAAGAATATAAACTTAAAATGAATATTACACATTTAAAATCATATTTTAAGCTTCTTTATCTAACTAGCGGTTCCCAACCTTTTTTCTTTGTGACTTTTTTTCTTTTGTTAGCAGTTCCACTAAAGACATTTCCCTTTTCACTCAAATTCTCACATGGTTTCATTTAAATGATAACGTCAAAGGAAGTTATGTATATACCATTTTTTGCAACCTTGTTTCAGAATTGTAGGTACGTTTTACATCTTATACATCTGTGCTAAACAGAATAAGAATAATATAGAATCAATACAATTTGAATTAAGCTTTAACCTGTAACACAGTATCTTCACATTGTTGTACTCCTGCTTTTACTAAAAGATCTGAATATTCCACCACTGATACTAGTAAAGTTTCTTGCCAACATTCATGTGTTGAAAAACCCCAGAACTACAAATTACAAAGTCCAAATGTGTGGGATTTAAATGTAATATTTTATATTATAAAGGCATCAATACAACCAGAGATGTGGCATTGATGTCAGGCTGTATGTTGTGGTGCCTCTACTCAGCTTCTCTGTGGTCCATTTTCAGGGCCGAATGCAACATTTGTCCTCATCAACAGCCTAATGACATGGACTCAGGCCCAGAGCTACTGCAGAGAACACCACACAGACCTGGCCAGTGTGAGAAACCAGACAGAGCACCAGCAGATATTTGAACTGTTCCCTGGAGGGAATCCTTATTGGATCGGCCTTTACAGAGACTCCTGGAAGTGGTCCGATGGAAGTTGCTACTCCTTTAGGTACTGGGCAAATATACCTGTCTACAGAGGTCTCAAAGCTTGTGTGGCTGCAGCTTTCGACAACTTTGGAAAATGGGAGGACTTGGACTGTGGAGTGAAGAAACCATTCATTTGCTACGGACGTGAGTACAATTCACAGCTATGACAAAGCAAGTGATGATATTGAGTCTGTTGAAAAAGAAGACACCATAAATGTTGTGACTGATGAGGTTTGTTTGTGTTTTTAGCTGTTATGCCTGTTTCAATGAAAGTGATAAAGGTGAGGGTGGAGAAACCAGACGGTGTGGATCTGAACGACCCCGCTTTTCTGGATGCGATGTTGGTGGAGGTAAATCATGTTTTCTACTTTTATGCAAAAACATCAATCACCAGAAAGGAAATTCACATGACATGAGAACAAGAGACGAAAGAGGTAGGAAACAAATAAATATATATTCAAAAATAATGAATTTAACGAAAGAAAATGTAGTAAATGAATTTCAATATGAATGAAATGGACCAAGATGAACATGAATGAAATTCTATATCCATTATACATTCAATACTTTGGCCACAAATAACAGGACCCAAGCATTTAGTAAGAAGACGTGTAAATATGTGCAGAAGTAAATAGCAGAAACTTAGCCACATGCCACCAAATGCATTAGGAAAATGTACAAATACTATTCCATAACCTGAGGTAAGCCTTTACACTGGAAGAAATAAGGGGAACAACTACCATTTCAGATGAGTGAACTAAAGATAAATCATCTGTTTTTATTGGAACGATAATGATAATGAGTTTTTGTGTCTCAGGCGAAAAAGAACCTAAGGGCCCAGGGATTGGACGACAACGTCCAACTGGCCTGGAGGAAGCAGCCGGATGGAAAAGTCTTCCACAAGGAGGAGGAGGAGAAGAAGAGGGATGAGCTCTAAAGCTGAATTGCTGTTTCGGCTTTTATCAGAGAAAAGTGTATTCCTCAAAGTCCTCGTGTTACAGAATACAGCTGCAACAATGATCTGAATAATCTATCAGTAGTGAGATAAGATAAGAGCTGTAATGTTTTCTCTTGTTATATATGGTTTTGAAGTTAATATGTTTGGGGTTTTAACTGTTCATGTATCTGCTCGACCTGCGAAAAACAGGATTTATTTTCCTATTTTGTGACTTTTTACATGTTTTTTCAGATAAAATATGAGACATTTTAAAATAATATAAGATTTAATAGAGGGCAATTCCAGGAAATCTTATTACCAATTAACATGATGACCTCTAATGCATCTTTCAAGTCATTTTCATAAAAAAATATAATTCTTCATTTTAAACTTATATTTGATCCTAAAAATGTGTTGTACAATTACTCACTGTTATTAATATCTTCAAATGAGTTAAACATTGTGGTTATTGCTCCTTTTCTTTAGGGATGCAAACTTTAAGATATGTTCCTAAAATTGGTGAATCATCTTCCAGAATATGAAGATTTAATGCTTTTCTTTGTGCTATGTGGTCATAAACTGAATCTCTTTGGGTTTTAATTCCCTCTGGCTGTGGGATATATAACAGGCATTTTACTCTTTTGTGTGACATTTGATAGATTAGATATTATTAGATTATTGCAACCATATCAATTGTAATGTATGTAATGTGAGAATATCTTCAAATAATCTAAATAGAAAATAATTAATTGTATTTTCATCCTTATTAAGGATATAAACTTGAAGCAAATGTCCTTAAATTATCTATAACCGTTTTACGTTACTCAAACATCCTTCTGGCAACAATGCTGAATATTCGCTGGTTCCAGCTTCTTAACTATTATAAGATTTGATGTTGTTTTTTGTCATGTATCTTCATGAAATTAATATACTGTTTACAAAAAATAATCACTATGAAGAATAAACTATATCCAATAAAGAGAAGTTATTTATTTGAATGATTTATTCAATTATTTCTCACATGTTGGATTATTGGTTGGTATTGGTTATTGGCCAGAATGGTAATTTCCCTGATTTTAGACAATTTATGGCCTCCTGATTCTCTATATAGATATATATAGATATTTGTTCTGCTTTATTCAAGAAAATATATATTTACACAAACATTATATACACACAAAACCTTAACATCAGAGGTACAGACACAGTAAAAAAATGTGAACAAATATATATATACTGTATAAAGAAATACATTTAAAGAACAAACATTGATAAATCATATATTATATAATTTATTAAATTCACATTTGGTTTTGATTGCCTGGTTATTTTTCACTACTTTAATGGTGGTGCCATATTGTTGTACTTCTAAGTAGACATGTACAACATTTGGAGTCAGTCCAGTTCTTCTTCTTTATGGGAAATGGTATTTAATATTGGGAATGTTATCAAGCTAACATTTTACATTTGTGTACACTTTTAAAGTTTATAAAAATGTCCTCATCATGAAGTTGTATCGTCTGTCCCGTTTCATGTTTGAGAGATCAGGTAACGTAAGACGTCTCTACGTCATCACGCATGGCTGTTACCATGGACACGGAGCAGTCACAACTGCCCCCACCTTTTTGTTGTACAATGTTAGTGAGTGGGGAGATTCCCCTTCGATTCTATTGGCTCTAACGGTCAGAAAGAGATGTCAATCACCAAAATCGACCAATGGGTTCCAGAGAAACGGTAAAAACCCCATTTCCACCCAAATCACCTCAGAGGTGGAGTTTTTTTGCTAAACCTCTCTAAAAAGGTCAAATGTCACTTGTTTTGCATCAATCTTGATACAAGGTACTTATTATATGTTGTACTTTGGATTCCTAAAGCTTTTAGTCTACCTTACCATCATCCAAGGGTAGTTTTCACTATATGTAAAAAAGAATTTTTGGACGGACACTATAATTTACAGTTTTTTACTATGTTCAATCTGAATTTTCATTAAAATAAAAAACATCTATATTGTTCTGACTCTTCTACATCCAACTCACAGGTTTATCATTACTTTGAGGAAAAAGATTATTAATTTAACCCTTTTAGAAGGGAAGATATGGTCATTTGTTCTGGGAATGTCATTTTCGAGCCTGAGACCTGAAAAACAGGCTCAGGGCTAATCAGGTTAAGTTAAGGTCTTCTTTTGAATAAGAAAAAAACGTTGGGGTTATCCACAGATAAATATGAAGTCTGACAAGGTACTTGACGTCCAATATATTGCATAGTTTATTTTGGCACTTGACAATCACCTTCCCTGAATTTGACTCAGGTGTAACTAAAGTCTGATTTAAGGGTCGTTTATATTTCACATCATTAATCAGAATCTGCAAAGTAACTAAAATAAATGTAGTGGAGTAAAAATACCAGGTTAACCTCTGAATTGTAGTGGAGTAGAACAAAGTAGTATGCTGCTGTAACAAAAACATTTCCCAACTTGGGATCAATAAAGTATAAGTTATCTTATCTTATCTTAAGATGATCGATGGCTACTGCCATATTTGCAAAATTTGCCTCTGAACCTTGACAAGTGCATGTTTCAGGCTTATCAATGAGCAACAGGAGGGGTCACAGACATAAGACCAGCTGTTAAATAAAGCTCTTCTGACCTTAGGTGTCATGTGGGTATATTAATTCACCCATTTATTAATTATATGTTTTAAATTTGATAACACCACTGTGTTTCGTATCCCCTAAACCTCCAGGGTGTACACAGTTTAATACTGGCAACTTCTAATTGTGGGAAATACGAAAACGTCTTATAAAGAGACGTGTGGGGGGGGGGGGGCCGGGGGCTGTGTCTTTAGTTGTAAAATGATGCGCGCCCGTTTCCACACTGCGAGGCTCCGGTGCTAACAGTTCTTGAGCGTGTTCCACTAGCACCCGGATATAAGGCGCTGTTATTAAAGAGGTGGAGGGAGAGTCCTCTCCTGTCAGACTGAGAGGCTGATAACTACAGCTCAGTGAGGTGAAGGACTCTCTGAGAGGTGGGGGGAGAGTCCTCTCCTGTCAGACTGAGAGGCTGATAACTACAGCTCAGTGAGGTGAAGGACTCTCTGAGAGGTGGGGGGAGAGTCCTCTCCTGTCAGACTGAGAGGCTGATAACTACAGCTCAGTGAGGTGAAGGACTCTCTGAGAGGTGGGGGGAGAGTCCTCTCCTGTCAGACTGAGAGGCTGATAACTGCAGCTCAGTGAGGTGAAGGACTCTCTGAGGGTTTAGATCGTTCACTTTAGTCTAAGTAGTGGGTCTCAAACGGTTTGGTAATCATTTATGTAAACAAGTATTTCCAAGGCACACCTTTATATGATCATTATAGTTATAAAAAACAAGAGAATAACAGGTATGAAATAATTCCAACTCATACTATAGGACAGTAACACAAAAATACAGTTTAAAAGGGGAGTGATTTGTAAAATATGCATAAAGATAAAAGTAAATCTGTTTACAGTTCTGTTTCACATGGGTGTTGTTGAGAGATGTATCCATAGATCTCTTAATGTTGCTCTCAAAGTGCAGCAGATTTATGCTTTTAACTTCAACATTTAAAAAAAATCTTCCCGGAGGAGCATGCCCCCGTACCCCCCTAGAGGAGGTTAGGTCCACCACCTGCCCACACCCCCTGTCAAATTGTCCCACCCACATTGAGAATGCTTCCTACGCCCATGTTATACATTAACGCAGTGTAACAGGGCGCTGCATCACAGACAGGTTTCTAATGTAGCGAGAATGAATGCCATTACTAAAGCAAGAACACCAAACAACACAATTCAACAAGCCTCCTTTCACTGCTGCGCCGCACATCATCTCTAGCAGAAGCAACAATATTTACTTAATACAATGACACGAAAATATCAACAATGTTAAATAAAAGTCATCATAGCCATTACTCACCAATACGTTTGATTTTGTTGTTCCCAAAAACCATCCTCCTTTCTTTCTTTCTGAAGAGTTCAGTTACTGTGTTGGGTTACACTTTATGGTAAGGGTACATGAATCATCATGAATTCATGCATGACTTAATGCATGAAAAAGCATGAATTCATTCATGTAGTACTTCATGAACTATCAGTAATGTACAAGGATTAATAGTATCTCATGCATGACTTAATGCAGGAACATTACCTTAATTAATGCATCAAGGTATCTCAATCCTCATGACTTCTGAGTTATTAATGATGTTCATGTCTTCTTCATATAGATCTGCAGTTAAAGTGACAGGCCAAAAAACTGACCAGTCACAGCAATTCCAAGTGTTGTAATCATGATTAACTAAGCATTATTTTGTCATTACTTCATCGTGTTTGTGCCTCTTCAAATGAAGTGGTGACCCGGTCTGTCGGTCACAGCAGTGCATGTATTCTGTTGAATTCAAAGTGTTGTAATCATGATTAACTACAAATCAATAATTTGGCGGCTTAGGGGAAACCGAACTGAGAAAGTTATAGAATGGGCTTACTGGCTAGGAAACAGGCATAAGAAAGGACCTCTCGGTCGTTGACTGAAGGACATTCGGGTCATGTTTCCCAGATTGAACCACCAAGACCTCACTGACTTCAGATATGAAGAAGATGGACGTTTCAAGATAGCCCCTGTTCGTGCCTCACATCTATTATCATTACATATGACTCAGGAGTTTTATTCTGAAAGATAATTCCCTGATGATCTATACGCAAGTCATTTCAGTGAATTTTATCTGTTGTGGTCAAGTTAAAATCACAAATAATTCAACAATATAAACATGGTATGATTTACTATTAACTTACTATTGCCATGTATCTTGTGTCTTTGCCGACATTTTGTATTGCTTTTTTATGTGACATGATATGTGAAAATGTGATCTTGTTGGCTTGTTTCACTCTAAACTCTACATCATTTCACTCTAACTCTACATAATTTCACTCTAAACTCTACATCATTTCACTCTAAACTCTACATCATTTCACTCTAAACTCTACA